GGGGGTCTGAAAAGTCGCTAAATCTAGCGACAAAGTCGCTAAGTTGGCAACACTGTATAGGCCTATAGTCATTTTCATTTAAACGAAGTTACTAAATATATAATTATATTGTGAGAAAGTCTGTCTGGATTGTAGGTATACCCACCTACAGGCGTCTGCAAACCTCTCAATGAAAGTAATTTCCTAGTTTCTTACTGTCGGTTATTTTTCTTTTAGACAACGCAATACTATATTTATGTCACAGACATCAGATTCAATAGGTACTTTCACACCACTGGATATTTTTTTCTGGAACCAGGGACTTTTGTTCTGTTCACACCGCCAGATTGTAGTTCCTCGGAGGTAGTCCCAGAACCCTTTTTTTAGAACTTAAGGTACTTTCGTTCGAACAAGAACTAATGGGGAGGCGCTTACAGAGTTGGCTTGCTGATTAGTTCACAACAAGCACTGGGGCTAACATGAAAGTTGCGCGAAAGCGCAAAAAAAAGAGATGTAACGGCAAAAATTGAGCAGATGTAATTAGTTTTGTACCCCAATTACATTTAATGCACCAATTAATACATGTTTGCTTGCACCCCCATACTTCTGTATCGGAAAATTAGATTGAAAACCACCGGTACACCTGTTAGCCTACGGAAAATTCAGTTCCTCTCTGTTCCCCCATCGCGCGCTGATTTGAATCATAACGCCACCCAGCCACTACTTTGTTGTTAGACGGTTTTACTGTCATTTTAATATGTCTTTCTACGAACGTGTTGAGTCAAACCATTTATGCGAAAACATAACCGTATTTTTCGATATTTGTGTATTTTTTAAAGATAAGCTAAATTATTTAAATCGCTTGCTATAAGATGATTGCTGTTTGCTTGTAGGACAATCTTTAGCATGCGTAACAATCGATGTGATATTGTTTATTCCAATTATATATAATTGTAGTCAACTTATTCCTTACATTTATCAGCTACTGCTAAAAATGATGTATTTGAACCAATTCAAACATATAATTCAGTTCTAGTAAAATAATGTGATGCATGGTTTCCTGTGCTAACACACAGATACTGACACGAAATTGGTGATACAAATCTGTTTACAAATCTGTTTAATGCATAACTGAATTACTTTTTTAGCCAGCAATTAAAGGTTTGTAGATAGATATGAATGGGCAACATTATTACCTTAAGGCTAGAATATACACTCACCTAAAGGATTATTAGTATACTACTACTACTACAACTAATAATAATGGTAATAATAATAATAATAATACTTTTTGATTATACCATTATTATTCATTATCATACACTCAAATAATAAATCTACAAGTCATTTTAATGAAAATAATAAATATTCTTGTACAATTTCTACTCAGTAGGCTGCATATCCCATACATAGCAACAGGGTGGAACCTAACAGGGAGGAATATTTCTAACTAATTTAGCTCTAGCTCTTTGAGTGAGCAACATTTAGCTAGCACACACTCTACAGCTGATCAGTATTTAAATAGCTATTTTTAACATGTTTTTAAAAATATAATATTTAATA